AATGTATGATACTACAGAGTATCATTCAAATGTATGATACTATAGAGTATATACTCCCGTTTACACAGCAACGTTCTAAACCATTGTTTGGGGTTTATCTCACAACTTTTCTTCAAAAACTGCTTGTGCCCACTTCCCTCCAGCTACCCCCAAATGGCCTCTGGCTGATGGTTACTACCTACTGGTGACACAAAAGAACCCAAGGCTGGGCCATCTAGTGAGCCAGCTGCTCACTAGAGTATGATGGAAGTAGAGTATGATGGAAACACTAGAAGAATGTTTTCCCTTGTCAACACTGTCTCAGTTAACATTAAAACTCAAGTTGGAAACTAAAAAAAAAAAAAAAAAAAAAAATTGAAACAAGTTCTCACTGCGTCATCTGGCCTCAAGCTCATAGAGATCCACCTGTCCTTGTCTCCCTAATGTTAAGATTAAAGGCACTGGTCATCATTTCTGGTCAAGAAATAACATTTTTAAAGTTATTTTTAAAAAGAAATTTGACTTGTTGGGTATTTTGTTGGAAGAAGTTTTTTCACAATAAATGAATATTGAAATGCTATTAAAAATTTATCCTAAGAATAATAATAGAAAGCCATGGAGAGTTAGATTCTAGGGAATGGCTGATTGGAAATGTGCCAAATACCAAATACAGTTGACAAGCAGGATACTTCTAAAAACTGGATCCTAAGTTAGTTATTTAAAACCTCAAACTTTGATATAAACAGAGGCGGCCCACAGTCAATATGTGTCTAGTTAATGAACAGGGAGTCCATTACTTCCCAGTTGTAAGTCAGAGTAGGAGGCCAGAAACAAAAACATAAAAAATGTCATTGATTCTAAAGAAGCTGAAAGAGAAGGGGCAGAGAAAAGGAGAAATCAGTGGAAAGTACATTTAGTGGCAGAAATAGAGTTCATAGCAAGGACAATAGAAACTTATTCTAAGAGCCAAGATGATTGGACCACACTATAAGTGAATTATTTTCTAAATACCTTTGAGAATCCATAGCAGCGTCTTTCTTTCCAGAGGGAAGGGATTGGCAGGGAGTACTCTAGCGTACTCTAGCATACTAATAAGTTTTTCTTCCAAGGCTTAAATCAACATGGATAGAACACGTAAGTGCTGACCTCCGTGGTTATAGGTACTTTGGGAAACAGAGCAGCTGGCTCACTAGATGGCCTAGCCTTGGGTTCTTTCATGTCACCAGTAGGTAGTAACTATCAGCCAGAGGCCATTTGGGGGTAGCTGGAGGGAAGTGGGCACAAGCAGTTTTTGAAGAAAAGTTGTGAGATAAACCCCAAATAATGGTTTAGAAAGTTGCTGTGTAAACGGGAGAAAAGAGGTAGAATAATGCCAGGAAACCGCTATTTAGAACAAACAAACAAACAAACAAACAAACATTGAATGCAAAAGAGTCATAACATGAGAAATGGTTCACTTTACTGGGTAGACTCAGTACTTATAAACTGGAATGTCTATTATAACATGGCCACAAGGTATAGAAAGCAAAAAAAAAAAAAAAAAAAAAAACAGAACTGTAAGTTGAAATGGACAGTGCTGGGGTTGGGGATTTAGCTCAGTGGTAGAGAGCTTGCCTAGCAAGTGAAGGCCCTGGGTTCGGTCCTCAGCTGGGGGCGGGGGAGCAGAAATGGACATTGCTATTGACATATTAGGGTATCTTAATTTACCTCTCCCGTTATTGAATTGTGTCAAGCAGAAACAAACTTAGTAGATATCAACACACTAATTATCAAGATCATATTCTTAGAATACCACATCCATGAATGTAGTTCTCTTCTTTCTTTCCTGTGCTGGGGATCAAACCAGGACCTTGTAGATGATAGGCAAGTGCTCTACCACTGACCTACAGCCTGGTCCTGTATGTGCTCCTTGACAATACTATTATATAACTTGTTCTTGGATTATTATCTTATTGTCATAGTAGGAAATATTATTGTTGAAATATGGTCTTGGGAAAATGTAGAAACCAGTTTGAAGGTTTGCCTTCTATAAACTTCTATTAGTAATACTGTAAGTGTTATATGAAGCAAGCGTCACCAAATTTATACCACTGGTTTTAGTAAACATACTACGATAGCTTTATCTTAACTTCCTGCTCCAGTAATTTTTGACAAAGTATGCACATAAATCATATCCCTCTGTGTTTATTAAACTCAGTAATATCAAACTCTTCATTGCAGTGGGCCTCAAATGTGATTCAAAAAGGATTGGCATGGTGTATATATGTGTGGAATTTTGTTTTCATACACAGTGCAGTTTGAATAAGTAACAATCTTATGGTATGACTATCACTTTACATAATCCCAACAGTGGATGGTGAAAACATTTGTTACTGTTTTCTCACCCCAGACTGAGAATTCATGACGCAGGTACTTGATGCAGGGTTTTTTGGAGAAGAATTAATTATAATGAAAGGAGAAACTCACACATTTCAGTAACACTTGGGGAAAAGCGGTTTTTAGTTTTCAGAATTTGTTTCAGGTCTTTGGGAGTATGCTAACTTGTTAGGCAGGAGAAAACTTGATATGGGACAATCAAAATTACATGGTGTAGTTAGCCTAACTGTGAAATTGAAACTCTTTGAATGATTTCTCCAAATGTCTCACAAGGGGCATAGCACTTTTCAACTTGAACAACGCACGCCTCGTGATATACAAGCGCTAATTCCCATTTTACAAATGTAGGAAGCGAGAAACTGAAGTTGGACATCCCACACCAAGTCAAGTCGTGACAGCACAGTATGCACAAAGACAGTGCCTTTCTGTTTTGTTTGCCCATGACATTGGGATCTCAATTTTAAATAATGAAGTTTGTGGCTGTGGAGCATGTCTTGCTATGCCGATGGCAACACCACTTTTGACAGGCAAGTTTAAGATCAAATCTTTTCTTTCTTTTCCAAGGCTCCTGGTCGGACTTTTATGTCTCATGACTCATATACCACATTCATACCACACTCCGTTTCCTCATTCCTGTACCTTCTATGTGGATACAGTCTGAAGCAACCCCCACCCATGACAGCCACTCTAGCCTTGTCAAGGGTGAGTGCTAACTGGGAGAAGGCCTTTCCCGGTCCCTAGGGAGTCTCTAGCTCTGGACAATGTTTTGAATGTCCACCATACATTTTTCTAAATGTCCTCTTAACAGATCCCAAATTTGAGACAGCAGAAGAAGGGGCAATAAGAAGCCACAGTAAAGAATCAGCAACATGCCTGGCAGTGGTGGCGCACGCCTTTAATCCCAGCACTCAGGAGGCAGAGCCAGACGGATCTCTGTGAGTTCGAGGCCAGCCTGGGCTACAGAGTGAGTTCCAGGAAAGGCGCAAAGCTACACAGAGAAACCCTGTCTCGGAAAACCAAAAAGAATCAGCCACAGAGGGGCTTGCTTTGATTCCAGCTTTCCCGCTGCTCACTGCTTATCTTAGACCCCAGTCTAAGGGGTCTAAGTGAGGGGGTGATTAAGGCACCTACAGCTCAGGTGTGGAGCATTCCAAGCCAATGTTCATCCACCGCTTAACAGGACACATGCTCTGGAGTTCTGGAAATCAGGTCCCACCTCCTCCATCCTCTGTGGTGCCCTCTTAGCTTCCTAGAACGACACTCTGGGGGGGCTGCCCCTGTAGTGTTCAAAAGTTAAGTCTTTGGCTCTGCGTCAGGGACTGGGGCCCGGAATGTGTTGAATGTGTTTCCCATCTGTGCAGGCAACTGGAGCCTCTCCTTGAGCGATTGGGCAGGGCGGTTTAGCAGGTGCCTAAGTCTGAACATTCCTGAATCCGGAGGGGGCGGCTCTGGCTTTTCCAGAGAGCCCTACCCCGGCCACAGCTGGAGCGAGGCAGACGCGGGAGCATCCACCGGAGCTCTGCCTTGGCAATGAATGGAAGTCGGGATGTGGGAACCCGGGGCCCGGAGAAGTGCTTTTCCAGGACGGCGGCGGCGGCGGCCGCGGGAGCCGG